GTCTCCAGGATTACTGGAGTTTCATGGTGTTTTAGGCTGATGGGATCCACTGAAGCACCATCAGGACACAATATGGTGAGTGTAGCCATACATAGTCTTTTAATGTTTTCACTACCTGCTCATGTTGGTTTAAGATTTAGTATGTATCAAATTTGATATTTAAACAGTTCACATCATTTTGAACGCATACTGATATTTGAAACATAAAAGTGTGAAAGCACAATCTGGTTTAATTTTACCATGCAAACAACAGTTACACAGCGGCTGTACATATGCTGTCCTTCACAACAATAACACTGTCCTACTGTAACAAGCAGACAAAGATGGCAGCAGACATTTTTGACTTATCAGTAAAAAGATTGATGGAGTGAAGGCATATTTGATAGCCTATCAAGAGGTAGATCAAAAATGGAAGTACCAGGTACATCTTATGTTTATAAACATTGTAAACACAGAAGCAGTCCTCCTCACCACCATATCTAGAAGTCCTGCAAGTGCTGGTAAACACAGAAGCAGTCCTCCCCACCACCATATCTAGAAGTCCTGCAAGTGCTGGTAAACACAGAAGCAGTCCTCCTCACCACCATATCTATAAGTCCTGCAAGTGCTGGTAAACACAGAAGCAGTCTTCCACACCACCATATCTAGAAGTCCTGCAAGTGCTGGTAAACACAGAAGCAGTCCTCCTCACCACCATATCTAGAAGTCCTGCAAGTGCTGGTAAACACAGAAGCAGTCCTCCTCACCACCATATCTAGAAGTCCTGCAAGTACTGGTAAACACAGAAGCAGTCCTCCTCACCACCATATCTAGAAGTCCTGCAAGTGCTGGTAAACACAGAAGCAGTCCTCCTCACCACCATATCTAGAAGTCCTGCAAGTACTGGTAAACACAGAAGCAGTCCTCCTCACCACCATATCTAGAAGTCCTGCAAGTGCTGGTAAACACAGAAGCAGTCCTCCTCACCACCATATCTAGAAGTCCTGCAAGTGCTGGTAAACACAGAAGCAGTCCTCCCCACCACCATATCTAGAAGTCCTGCAAGTGCTGGTAAACACAGAAGCAGTCCTCCCCACCACCATATCTAGAAGTCCTGCAAGTACTGGTAAACACAGAAGCAGTCCTCCTCACCACCATATCTAGAAGTCCTGCAAGTGCTGGTAAACACAGAAGCAGTCCTCCTCACCACCATATCTAGAAGTCCTGCAAGTACTGGTAAACACAGAAGCAGTCCTCCTCACCACCATATCTAGAAGTCCTGCAAGTGCTGGTAAACACAGAAGCAGTCCTCCCCACCACCATATCTAGAAGTCCTGCAAGTGCTGGTAAACACAGAAGCAGTCTTCCACACCACCATATCTAGAAGTCCTGCAAGTGCTGGTAAACACAGAAGCAGTCCTCCTCACCACCATATCTAGAAGTCCTGCAAGTGCTGGTAAACACAGAAGCAGTCCTCTCTGCCACCATATCTAGAAGTCCTGCAAGTGCTGGTAAACACAGAAGCAGTCCTCCTCACCACCATATCTAGAAGTCCTGCAAGTACTGGTAAACACAGAAGCAGTCCTCCCCACCACCATATCTAGAAGTCCTGCAAGTGCTGGTAAACACAGAAGCAGTCCTCCCCACCACCATATCTAGAAGTCCTGCAAGTACTGGTAAACACAGAAGCAGTCCTCCTCACCACCATATCTAGAAGTCCTGCAAGTGCTGGTAAACACAGAAGCAGTCCTCCTCACCACCATATCTAGAAGTCCTGCAAGTGCTGGTAAACACAGAAGCAGTCCTCCTCACCACCATATCTAGAAGTCCTGCAAGTGCTGGTAAACACAGAAGCAGTCCTCCTCACCACCATATCTAGAAGTCCTGCAAGTGCTGGTAAACACAGAAGCAGTCCTCCTCACCACCATATCTAGAAGTCCTGCACGTAGCCTGCAGCCTCGGGGTATCGCGGTACTTGTCATGTACGCTAAACGGAACAAAATGCACTCACTAACCTTTATGATTATTTGTGTTCTCTATATCAGATATCATTTATTTTATCAAACATGCATATTTTACTGATAAAAGTTCATTATTTACATTAGTAGCTCCGAGTAAAAGCCGGGCCTCGCGCTCTGTTTGACAAGGGAGAGAACTCCATCGTATCGCAGTACAGAGAAAAGTTGTGTATGGAGGTCCGAATTGGACAAAAAGAGGACATAATTCTACCAACCACTTGGTATGATCATGCCAGACATCAGTGATTTGTCCAGACAAGTGCAAAGACAGCACAAGTAAAATTCTAAATGTGTTATCAGCAATAGGTATTCAATGCATATTTACCGAAAAGTAAGAGAAAAATATTTTTATAAGTCAACAACAAAATATCAGAAATGATATTCTAAGATTGTTTATAAAAAAATTGGATGACAGTAATTTGTCACAAAATGGAAAAATGTTAAAAGTCAACAATAAATATATAAAAAGCACTCCTAGTATGCCAAAAGTATGTATTTATCTTTTGGCTACTAGTGAAGAACGTATTTCTAAGTTTGGCATTATGGCCCTTATGATCTCCCAATAGATTCTGGGCACAGAGCGGGAAAAAATTGCGGACTACATAACTTCCGTTACCTAATTAGTCGCCATGAATATGCAGATGATCTAGTTCAGGTCAATAGAGAAAGTTTACTTGGGGAACTGCGGGTTATATTGTTGGCCATTGATAGATGGGGGGTAAGGCAATATTGAAAATGATGCCAGAAGTAAGTATCAACGCATTAATAACTCCTTACTTACAGCAGACGGAACATACTGAGGAAATTGAAATTGTTTACGAAGTGAGCACTTCCTGGTTACTGATTTGCATTAATAGACAGAAGCTGGGAGGCGTGTCCCGTGTGAACTATCGGAAATCACAAATGCCGCAATACGATGAATGCCGCAGTACCACCGAGTCCAAGTATACTGGTAAACACAGAAGCAGTCCTCCCCACCACCATATCTAGAAGTCCTGCAAGTACTGGTAAACACAGCAGCAGTCCTCCCCACCATCATATCTAGAAGTCCTGCAAGTGCTGGTAAACACAGAAGCAGTCCTCTCTGCCACCATATCTAGAAGTCCTGCAAGTGCTGGTAAACACAGAAGCAGTCCTCCACACCACCATATCTAGCAGTCCTGCAAGTACTGGTAAACACAGAAGCAGTCCTCCACACCACCATATCTAGAAGTCCTGCAAGTACTGGTAAACACAGAAGCAGTCCTCCACACCACCATATCTAGAAGTCCTGCAAGTCCAAATTCATTGTATACCATCAAGCATGTCCAGTGTCATGACCTTCAGTTTGGTGAGATGCCTGCCTACAACCTCACACCAGGTTAAGTACCTTGCCTCAGGGAACATATGTGGAATCTAAAGGCATTTGTACTGAATGTTTAAATCATTTCTGACTTGAATGACATCAAAGAATTCCATGGACAGTAAGTGAGTTATGAGTTATCCAGTTATCACTTTAAGAAACATATTTTAAGGCTTTGACCCTGAGGATGACCTTGACCAATGACATGGCTATCAAGGAGTTACACATGATATGATACCCCAGAGATGTCCAAGCATCACATGGTTTATAAAATAAAGAATTGTGATGGCCGACAAATTCAGGCAAAACCTTAAAGCATCCCAATTTATATGGGACTGCTTAATAACTTGTTACAGATCACACACTTTGCATTTATAATTCACTTACATTCATTCCAATAACCCTGCTATGTGGTACTTATCTGTATGAATAATCCACAACATTTTAAATGACCAGGCTCATGCACATCCTGAAATATGCTTTCCTATTTCTATGCATGTCATATATAATGTAAATTATTCTATTACACCAGTGGACTACAGAACACAGGAAACATCATTCTAACTTCAATTTTTTAACACCTGATTTTTTTACCTGCTGAATGGGAGGGGTGTCATCTATGGCATCTATCTATAACAGTTTTTGTATTTGACAATTTATCATCTTTTGGTCCAACGCCTATTTGCCAGAGTAATCTGATTAGCACCACAAGGACAAACCATTTATCCATGATCAACGTCCTACAAAAAATAAAATGCCATTATAATTCCTGACTGAAATATGTGTGGGCAAATGTGAACTGCTGCCAAGGCCGCCAACTGCACAACAACAGTCACCATCCATCCTCTGTATCGGCTGAAATGTCAGTGCAATCATGCAGTGTGAGGGTCTGTCCACAACCACAAGATATCTACCACTCCATGGGGACACATACAAAGAGTACTTAATGGATGGACAGATGTGAAGGCACTCGTTATGGCGCTGGGGTGCTCAAAGGACTTGGAATACATTCAAGCTTTCAATAAACGTAATACAACTGTTTCAGTATCTTCAACATATAATGCAAGATTGGGGGGTCAAATAAATTACAGGCAGTTAATATTTGTAAATTACACCTAATATGTGAGCATCAGCTCCAGACTCTCTCTCAGCTCCAGAGGGGTCATGGGTGCCACGCCTACACTCGTTATGAATAGCGGCATCTAGGTTACGCCATACTTCACAGTGACTTACTGCCATAGGCTGAACCTTACGTAACTGAATCTGTTCTTCTGTTTAGTTAACTGCAGCAAAATCTTCTTGTAAATATGAAATCAAATAACCAGTTGGTCAAATCAAAATTAAATCCAGTCTGTTTTAATATGACATCTCTCACTTTCAACATCTGTAAAGTTCTTATGTTCTATATACACATGTATATCAATTTGAAGTTCTTACATTAAGTGCTTCCAGTTATAAGTAATTCTGAGTGATTCAAATCTGAAAAAGAATAATAGCCAATCTTGTACATCAAGAAAACCGCCACTCTAGAAATGTACAGTGTTTTGTATGTGAAGCATATGTTCATCAGTGTTTACTTACTGTGGTGGAAGAAAGCACACGTTCATCAGTGTTTACTTACTGTGGTGAAAGAAAGCACACGTTCATCAGTCTTTACTTACTCTCATGAAAGAATGTGAAGCACATGTTCATCAGTGTTTTTGCTGGTGAAAAGTCTTCCGCTTCGTTGCACTCAAACAGGCACACCGCAAAGAACTGAACCATCCGGAAGAATATCTGCTCATCAACCTTCTTGTTGTGGACTCTCTGGAACAGATTGGAACGTGAAGAAATAAATAAAATACAAGTTCATCAATTTCTTCACAGATGTGTTCTCTGTTTTGGTACAGAGGTTTCCCTACTTATTCTAGTTAAGTAATATTTCATCAACACATTCCATTTTATTTTTAGGAATGTTTTATACCAGACACACATATATTCAGAAGTGAAGAAACGCTTGTCCTACCGGGCGAGCACATATTTCAAATGTATCAATTCATCTCTTATTGGTTTCAATAAAACATGCAAGATAATTTTGAGTTTCAACTACGTTTTCACCTCTCACACGTTTTATAGCAATAACCATGAAATACATGTCTCTCATTTCAGAAATAGACGGCACACTTACGTGAAAGTTGTTTGCGCAGCAGGTATCAAAACATGTTTTTAAAGGGAGGTAATTCTATTTACCGTATTTTCTTGAGGATAATGTGCACACCTCAGTATTCAGTGGGGGGTGGGGGGTGGGGTGTGTGTTCTCGTTTTATGTGCAGAAAACAATAACATCGTATATCTTCAGCTGTAAACATTTTTTCTTGCAATCTATCTTTGAATCACCCAATAATATAACTTAAAAGAATTTTGATGTATTGATTGGATGAATTGTATCTGAAACTATTATCTTAACAGGAATAATATTTTCCAATATTGTATTATTTTAGTTGCAGCTTCTACTATATATATTTAAAATAACAAATAACCATACATGTAGCACTTTGGTACAGCTGATTGCTATTACTGGACATTTTTTACATATGGAACAATTTGACCAGTCACCATTGAGGCGCTCGCAATCTGGAAAACTATATGTTGACATATAATAGTCAAACAACAACCAATATGACTTTTAACAAGTCAAAGTATGGCATTTAGGATATATGTAGCCATTCACTGTCAATTAAAATTCATCTCAAGGCATCAATAGTGGTTATCTGACCATGGTTGCTGTAAATAATCGCATTGAGTGATCTATACCTATCACTTCACACACAATTTCGCCGACTGTTGAATGAAATTTTGAACAAAGTAAATAAATTAGAATAGAAACATAAGTCCACATATACAATGAACACCTTTTATAACCAGACAGTGTAATTACAAGATTAAATGGTGTACTTCAGTACAGGTTTTTTGACATGGTATTTCCAGTGTTAAGTGCTCACAGTAATGTCAAAGCGAAAGTGAATGCTTTTGTGAGGCCAATGGTTGATGTATGGGTTTTTAATTGAGGACAGTAGTGTTTGATGAGAGAAAAAAAGTTTTCATTATAGAACAGTTCGAAAAAAGGAATTCGTATTTAAAACAATGACTGTAAGACGCATGGTTAATGAATGTGGATTGCAGTAACAGTAACTATTTCGTATTGTCTGTCGGAAATATCACCAACTATCAGATTCAAAGTCTGGACTTGTGATTTGTTTAAGAAATAACTAAAGAAAGGAACAGTTACTAATAGCTTCAGAAAGGAAACATCAACATTTCCAAGGAAGAGTAGGAAACACTTTAATAGCTGTGAATATGAACAAGTTATGCTTTAACTTCAGCACAATATGTAAAATTAATGAATATATTTGTGATTTTTCAATTTAAGAAACTTCAGTTACAGAAAGAAAACGTAATTAAAACTGAGAACATAAACATAAACATGAAATGTAGAAGGACAAGTGAAAATACTGCAGGACCAGTCCAAAATACCATCTACTTGCCCTGCAAGACCAGTACAAAATACCATCTACTTGCCCTGCAGGACCAGTACAAAATACCATCTACTTGCCCTGCAGGACAAGTCCAAAATACCATCTACTTGCCCTGCAGGACCAGTACAAAATACCATCTACTTGCCCTGCAGGACCAGTACAAAATACCATCTACTTGCCCTGCAGGACAAGTCCAAAATACCATCTACTTGCCCTGCAGGACCAGTACAAAATACCATCTACTTGCCCTGCAGGACAAGTCCAAAATACCATCTACTTGCCCTGCAGGACAAGTCCAAAATACATCTACTTGCCCTGCAGGACCAGTACAAAATACCATCTACTTGCCCTGCAGGACCAGTACAAAATACCATCTACTTGCCCTGCAGGACCAGTACAAAATACCATCTACTTGCCCTGCAGGACCAGTACAAAATACCATCTACTTGCCCTGCAGGACCAGTACAAAATACCATCTACTTGCCCTGCAGGACTAGTACAAAATACCATCTACTTGCCCTGCAGGACCAGTACAAAATACCATCTACTTGCCCTGCAGGACTAGTACAAAATACCATCTACTTGCCCTGCAGGACCAGTACAAAATACCATCTACTTGCCCTGCAGGACCAGTCCAAAATACCATCTACTTGCCCTGCAGGACCAGTACAAAATACCATCTACTTGCCCTGCAGGACCAGTACAAAATACCATCTACTTGCCCTGCAGGACCAGTACAAAATACCATCTACTTGCCCTGCAGGACCAGTACAAAATACCATCTACTTGCCCTGCAGGACAAGTCCAAAATACCATCTACTTGCCCTGCAGGACCAGTACAAAATACCATCTACTTGCCCTGCAGGACCAGTACAGAATAAAAAGCCCGGGGATCACACTTGTTTCAGAGTGGAAAAGAACATAACACACTGTGGATTGACTTGATGATACACATCATACTGAGACAACACTATGGCATGGTACACAAGCACCCTTGCATGAGGCAGTGATTCTGCTGTGTGATATTGCTGACAGGGCAATACACCTACAGAGAATCTGGTTTTCTGGTTTTTACTGATCAGACCTGACATTGCCTCCTCTCACTGAATTCCACCAGCATGCCAATTGCCCTGAAGCATTCATCACGTTGTAGAAAACGCATTCCCAATCTGTTCACAAATACTGCATTACTAACACCAATCACAAGCTATTTATCACATTGACATATTCTCAACATATTACATTGCAGAAATTCTGCCAGTTAGTGTTGCTGTATCACAGCATCCTACTAGGGAAGCCAAAAGTGATGCAGGTCATAGATATTTGAAGGAATGGTGCTTAGTATCCAAGTCTCATAGTTTGGGCTGAACTGGAATTCAAAGCCCTGACCAGGCTGGGGCTTGTACAACAAAGAGGCACATATCTACACTATAACATGTAGCTGGATCACGAAGGGTACTTGGGGTTTTATGCATCCCGTGTTAGGTTTTATACCATGAGCTGGAGGTGGGGTATATGGGATTGATGCTGCTGCTGAGAAATACACGTGCAGCCTGTTTTCTTCATGTTAGGGTATAAGGGATTTATTCTCCCGCTGAGAAATTTATTTCCCTCCAAGGCGGGATACATAGTATTTTATCTCATCCTTCTGACACGGAGGTATGATTAAGTCTGCTGTGCTGGGCCACTCAGCCTCCTATGTCTTCAACTCATGCAAACATGGCTGCATAGAGAACAAGTGATTCAAGTGAGAGTTTGCCTTCCTTGGTTGTCACTGTACTATCCCTCCAGCCAGTATGACCACCAGATAGGAACTTGAATCCTAGATGTTTCACCAAAGCTTAAAACACATCTGTGACGTCACTCTATTGTTTAAACACTCCATTATTTTTCATGAAAGGACAGCTGTTTGTCAGTTATACATTATCTTGAACAAACATTACAATTAATTTACGCTTGGTATAGACGGAACTATTCTTTTATATATAGACAAGTGAATGATTTCAAAGTTTGTTCGAAAATATGTGTCGCCAGCAGGGTTCGAACCTGCATTGTTTGATATTAAAAGCTAAAAGAAACATGTACACAGCAGGATACTTATAACAATATTCATATTTAAAGCAATTAGGTAAACTTTTGACTTGAAAAATATTCAGGTAAACATATATTTGTCCTTGTTCAGGGCTCTACATTTGCTTACATCCCTGTCAGCATGTATTTACAACATGCAAGAGATTAACATAATACTAGCTTAAGACCCAACGAAATTATGAAGAGCCGTGTACCATCAATTGTAAATGTCAGTTCGCGACGGAGCTTGGTGCACGTGCAACAGCGGCAGAGAATGTACTGCTTGTGCATCATGCAAGGGCGACTCACACAGCAAAAATACAGTCTACAAAGAGTTCTGGTTTATTTTTCAAATATTTTGCACAAGTGAATGTTTTGTTAAAGTATAAAAGTAGGGATGTCTTTTAAGTAGGGGAATATCCTTGTAACTCTCCATTCCTTAAAACTAATGGGCCTAAGCTCCATTGTTTTTAAGGAATGGAGAGTTACTCTACAGAATTCAAGGGGACTTTAATCAAGGTACTGTCATCGATGTTGGGTACTTAATACTAGACATCCTGGAACTGGCACTTGCTGTCTAGCGACATGCTGACTGCAGGAAGGCAGTGCCGAGCGGCCCTGACACAGTACACCTTCCACAGATCCTCTGTTCCTACTACACTGCCTCCACGGCTCATCACTTCATCAACTATTGGCAAGAGATTCAATACTACACTCATTCACTGTGAAGGGGTTCAGAGAAGCATATGGATGCACTACTGGTGCAACTACTGGTATTGGCAGACTTTCCAAGAGTGAAAGGAGAACTTTGTCATAGTGGTCTCCTGGCTGATTCAGCATCGTCACAAAGCTTATCGTGTCATCATTTGCTAGGATTGAGTTGACTGCTAACAGAGTTTTAGAAACTTGAGGAAGAGAGCTCTAATTATTGTCTTATATAAGATGGCTACGAGATAAATTGCAAAGAATGTCCTATCATGACGTCATTTCTGGAGATTTGAATATGCGCTCATAACTTGATGACGTCATATATTGGACGACGTCATTTTTTAGATGGAAGTGTCTAGTAAGTTGTTCCCCATAGATGTAGCTGGGCTACGCAGATAAACTCAGTGGCCGAATGATCGCATCGAAAAATGGGAGAGATATGACAATCAGTATTTGGAGAAAAGGTACAGATAATCAATGTGAGGATTGTGAGAATATGCAGGATATAACAAACTTCACCCCCTGTTCATAAAATGGACTTGTCTGACATTTATTAGGTCGAATTCTATTTAAGGAGTCATTATTATTAAAATCTGGGTAAATATCGTTGAAGCTTGTACATTTTATCAACATCCTTAAAGGTGTACATAATGCTGATATCTCACAAAAGAAATAAATGGCTTGTGGTCGTTGTTTATCGTACAATAAAACACTGAATTCTCCCTGCAGTGTTTTATTGTATGAAAAACTCGTCATTTATTTCTAAAAAATACAGTAGAAAATGAACATTACATAGTAATGGTCATAATGAATTAACACAAAAGCCCTGACTGCCTTACTATAAAACACTTAGACGTAGGTGAATAAAAAAATTTTTACAACATAATGCGGCTATAACCAACTGATTTTCTACCTCAAAGAAGCATAAAAGTCATTATTTTCTTACATCAGTAACAAACTGGTCCAACTAAATCAGTGTCACTCACCACTCAAACAACATACATGTAATTATCCTATTGCTACTACTTTACACTAACAGAAGATTGAACCTCAATTTGTGTCCATTACAATCAGCTCAATACCCACACCAATCTGCAGTGCATCAACTTTGTCATAGTCTGCAACCCTTGAGGGACCGTTTCTATGATATCTAAGTTGCCCAAACTATCCATTGACTCAATCCTGATCACAAAAACTATTTTACGAATATTCTCACCAGCAGATGTTCCTTAAATATAGAATACTAAACTAGCTCCTGTGTATTGACAATTTTATAAAACTCATGAATAATGGGAGAGAGTACAGAATTTTATTTAGTATTTGCGGTTTATATTTTTTCTTAAATTTCACTGTCAAGTGTGAATTGGCAGACATCTACATGATCCACAGCTTACTCCAATTAGGTTTAACAGAATAATACTTCAAACACGTCAAAAGTTGATACTTATTAATTTAATACCATACAACGGTCCACCTTTAGAATTCATGGGTCCATTCCACATAACTGTCGTAGCGCTAAAGTTATCATAATAACGCTTATACTTTAACTCTTTCAATACCGCAGACCGGTACAAGACCAATGGCCAAGACGTTATGAGTTCCCAGACACCGCAGACCGGTACACTGGCCAAGCCGTAGACACGTCAAAATACATGACTATATAATTTTATTAACCTACCATATCATTAATTTATTAAATCTATCACATTTCACAATGTCTGAAATACGTATTTCATTTCAATTTACCATATTTTATTGATACACTGTAGATATAAAATTTATTCACTATTTCTCACAATGTAATTGAAAATAATTCTCGGAAACATGCTTCGACAACAGGTTCACATCGAACATGTCAAAGAGCAAAATAAGGACGTTTCAAGGAAATTTTAACTATGTTATATAAAGTAATTAATATAAGTAAGTAATCAACAAAAATATATCTAAAAGTTGTCAAACTTACATCTAAGGTATTATTTCCGTCTCTTCGTGCGATCGCGGATAATGTAAGTCAAATGACACCTCGGCTTTAGTCGCCTCAATTTTTAGGCTAAGACATGATGTAATACCTAAATATTTGCATGAGAAATCTTTGTCACAGCTTGTAAATTATAGCAAAACATCCAAGAAGTTCCATATTTTTAATATAGATCGCAATTTCCTGCTTAAAACAATCAGAACAACACAATTTAACCCAAACCTTTCGTCAAATCTGAAATTTATCATACACGAGGATGATACCATTGCTGTAATTTGATTGGCTGGCTTAGGTCATATGCTTAAATGTGACCAATCACAAACATTGTAGCAGATTTTGGCAAGAAAGCATCATTTAAATTAAATTTCTATCCAATAAAACCGCATGTCACAGCTTTGAAATGACTCCAGGGGAGGTTACTGTTATACAATACTGTCATGACGCCATAAGCTTTCTGATGATACTTGTTTCGAAAACAGAGGTATTTTCATGTTACTAAGCGGACAGCCACTGTTTAATCACGAAATTGGTAATGACCGATACTATTTAAAATTCTTTTTAAAATATTTTTTCTGAATACATGAATAATAAAACTAAAAAGGAATAGGTTAGCGGATATTATGAAATCTTATATTTGTCGAAAATTGTCAAATTTTCGCACCCTTGGTGCTTAATCTGGAATGTGTTTGCTTACATTTTTTTTATCTGAAACTAACTGAATCAAGTTGTAAATGCATTATAAAGATGTTTTACAAGCAGATAACTTGCTTCATAAATGTAGACTTGATCTGTCACACAAGAGTCTCTGGGAACTCGGTGTCACAGCAGTAAAAGCTTCTGGTTGACTGGTGTTGAAAGAGTTAACATAGACTTACAACTGTTGCTGCGCTACGATGACCTTGTGGATCGGGGCCCTGCACCACAATGTTTACAATCACGTCACAATGCCCTATGTCATAATTTACGGAATTTTGTTGTAAGATTGACGAGTGAAACAATGCCATGTGACATCAGCCTAGCAACAGGGATGGTGGCCATTGAGTGTGCATAAGCTCCTCTCAGCGATCTATCATCTCCACACACAATGTCATTGAAAAAGCCCAGCGATGTTGGGAGTTTTTAATTATGTTCCCACAATACATAAGCACACACTTTGGTATTACACAATCAGTAATACAGCTGTATGTTTATTAAAGGGGTGATCTCTTCATGGGCGAGAAACAAAAATCAAAACCTATCAATGTAGATTAACAAGTCGACTGTCATTTTTTGAGAAAGTGTTGCTGGGATGGAGGTGACATCAGCAGTTTTCATGGAATATGTTTAAAGATTGATCACCCCCATCTCATTGACTTCTTGTGCAGCACTGTGTTTCTTAGATTGTCAAAGGGATTAGGGAACTATTTACAAACTTACAAACTGCAAGAAGTTTATACAAATTTGAGTACCAAATATGTTCCTGATCTCATGTTGAATTTGAATTTGAATAGATTGAATATTAAAATACTAATTTTAGCCAGAAGTTATGATTATTGTTACTCTTTAATTACATTACACTGGATTGTTTGATAGACATTACTTAGAAGTTGACGGATGACAACTGTCATTACATTGATTTGACAATATGGCCAGACTATCACTGTAGCCACATTTACTATTGGTATTTTAACTGCCATTGAACCAGTCACATCAGGCCAAGGCAATCACAAAGAATCAATAGTTTGAGCATAACATCCCTACTCAAAACACACTCTATCCCCATGTGATAGCTGAAGTGTGCACAATCTTCACATGACATTCAGTTAGAAGCCTACCTGTGAATTGACATATCTTGCAAACCACAGTCTCCCGGGTGCATGCTGAAATAAAAGAAACAAGTTTATTAACATAATCAATTTAAGTTTGACTCTCTACCTTCACAACTTCCCACATTTTGTCTGCTTATAATGTTCAAATTCAATTATAATCAAAGAGCGTTTTTGTTCCGGTGTGGGATTGCCAGGCATATATAGCAAGTCTAGACAGTACTGGACAGTTGGATGAAGTCATTAGGAAGGCCCTGATCTTCCCATGTCAGGTCCTTGGTGTAGACATCTACTGATTACTACTCTGGCAGGGTGCACAGACAGGTCACTGTTCAGTTTCGACATGGTAGATCTCTTGCACACAATGAGATTAACTGTTTTGAATGTAAAATCATATGCTAAGTATCATTGTGGGCCAAGAAGACATTGGTTGAAAATTGTATGTTATCAGTGTGGAGCATGGAGATTGGTTGAAAAATGTTTGTTTGTTTGTTTGGTGTTTAATGCTGCACTCAGCTATATTCCACCTATATGACGGTGGTTTGTAGGTAATCAAGTCTGGGCCAGACAATCCAGTTATTGACCTCATGAGCACCAATCTACGCAATTGGGTCACGATGACATGCATCAACCAAGTCAGCGAGCCTGACCACCCAACCCCATTAGTCGCCTCTTACGGTAAGCATGGGTTGCTGAAGACCTATTCTCTACCCGGATCTTCATGAGTCAGGTTGAAAAATGCATCTTATCAGTGTCTGCCATGAACAGATGATGATGTTGGGGAGTACACCCATGGTCATGGCACTGATGATGTTGGGGAGTACACCCATGGTTATGGCACTGATGATGTTGAGGAGTACAGCCATGGTTATGGTATTGATGATGTTGGGGAGTACACCCATGGTTCTGGCATTGATGATGTTGGGGAGTACATCCATGGTTATGGCATTGATGATGTTGGGGAGTACATCCATGGTTATGGTATTGATGATGTTGGGGAGTACACCCATGGTTATGGCATTGATGATGTTGAGGAGTACACCCATGGTTATGGCACCGCTAATGTTGGGGAGTACACCCGTGGTTATGGTATTGATGATGTTGGGGAGTACACCCATGGTTCTGGTATTGATGATGTTAGGGAGTACACCCATGGTTATGGCATTGATGATGTTTGGGAGTACACCCATGGTTATGGTATTGATGATGTTAGGAAGTACACCCATGGTTATGATATTGATGATGTTGGGAAGTACACCCATGGTTATGGCATTGATGATGTTAGGGAGTACACCCATGGTTATGGCATTGATGATGTTAGGAAGTACACCCATGGTTATGGCATTGATGATGTTTGGGAGTACACCCATGGTTATGGTATTGATGATGTTGGGGAGTACACCCATGGTTATGGTATTGATGATGTTGGGGAGTACACCCATGGTTATGGTATTGATGATGTTGTGGAGTACATCCATGGTTATGGTATTGATGATGTTGGGGAGTACACCCATGGTTCTGGCATTGATGATGTTGGGCAGTACACCCATGGTTATGGCATTGATGATGTTGGGGAGTACACCCATGGTTATGGCACTGATGATGTTGGGGAGTACACCCATGGTTATGGTATTGATGATGTTGGGGAGTACACCCATGGTTATGGTATTGATGATGTTGGGGAGTACACCCATGGTTATGGTATTGATGATGTTAGGGAGTACACCCATGGTTATGGCATTGATGATGTTGAGGGCAACAAAAGTCGCGATGGTGCTCATGTTGAAGAGAATGTCATTAAATTCAAGTAGCAGAGACCAGGAGAAATAACAAACAAAATTCTCACTGAAAAATCATTGCTTAAAGCAGTGGTTAAAAAATCAGGCAGACAAAAAATGCCAACAACAGACACCACAGAAAGTCATCTGTCATACTTCCCCTCTCCCATTAGGCCCTCCATACACTGGAAGCCTGTAGCAATGGGATTATATAAAGATTTATGCAAAATGCCCTAAGAAAATCAATTTCTGTCATAATTTCCCAATAAATCAGCAAAAATATCCCCAGAACTGACAATGTCTCCATACTCTCATTTTAGCTGACTTGCTGTTATTTAACAGTTTGTAAACAAAGCTAGATAGTGAATCGATTCAAAATAGTTATTTGCCGTAAATCTCCCTTTGTTGTGATGAAGACGCTAACACAGAGATTTCAAACTTGATTCATACATTCTTCTTGTTCAAAAGATGATTCAAAACAAACCCCTTTTGCCTGAGATTAAGTGGCAGTTCATCCTCTATGTGAAATGAACAGTGACCTTACACTCCAATTTCAATTCAGATCAGAAATCCAAAGATAAAAGCAGAGATCTCCAGTGATGATCAAAGAATGACTTTCAGTGAAGAGAAGGAATGAGCTCTGATGATAATATCAGGAATTAGATCCTCTGATGAAATAAGGTATGAGCTCCCATGATGATATTAGGAATTAGATCTGGTGATGATCTAAGGATAATGAGCCCTAGTGATGATATAAGGAATGAGCTCCCACGTTGATATAAGGAATGAGCTCCCGTGATGATATAAGGAATGAACTTCCGTGATGATCTAAGGAATGAGCTCCCACGATGATATAAGGAATGAGCTCCCGTGATGATCTAAGGAATGAGCCCCTGTGATAATCTAAGGAATGAGCTCCCGTGATGATATAAGGAATGAGCTCCCACGATGATATAAGGAATGAACTCCCGTGATGATGTAAGGAATGAGCTCCCGTGATGATCTAAGTAATGAGCTCTCATGATGATATAAGGAATGAGCTCCCACGATCATATAAGGAATGAGCTTCCGTGATGATATAAGGAATGAACTCCCGTGATGATGTAAGGAATGAACTCCCGTGATGATCTAAGGAATGAGCTCTCATGATGATCTAAGGAATGAGCTCTCATGATGATATAAGGAATGAGCTCCCACGATCATATAAGGAATGAGCTTCCGTGATGATATAAGGAATGAGCGCTGGTGATGATACAAGGAATGAGCTCCCGCGATCATATAAGGAATGAGCTCCCGTGATGATATAAGGAATGAGCTCTGGTGATGATACAAGGAATGAGCTCCCGCGATCATATAAGGTATGAGCTCCCATGGTGATATAAGGTAGGAGCTCCCGTGATGATCTAAGGAATGAGCTCTCATGATGATATAAGGAATGAGCTCCCACGATCATATAAGGAATGAGCTTCCGTGATGATATAAGGAATGAGCTCTGGTGATGATACAAGGAATGAGCTCCCGCGATCATATAAGGTATGAGCTCCCATGGTGATATAAGGTAGGAGCTCCCATGGTGATGATATAAGGAATGAGCTCCCGTGATGATCTAGGAATGAGCTCCCATGATGATATAAGGTAGGAGCTCCCATGATGATATAAGGTATATATCCTGTGATGATCTAAGGAATGAGCTCCCGTGATGATATAAGGAATGCGCTCCCGTTATGATATAAGGAATGCGCTCCCGTTATGATATAAGGAATGAGCTCCCGTGATGAATTGGCTCTTATAGTGATGATAATGCTAGATTTCCAGTAAGACAAAGAAAGTGTTCTATTAAGGGACAACTGTAAATCTTGAAATTAACATGAGAGCGAATAAAATGTGAAAAATGCGAGGAGTCTTTGTTCGCATTAATAAAACTTCACATTCATGTCTCCAAAATGACTATCAACAAAAAGATGGCCTCACTGCACATTTGGATAGTGAAAATACCAACTTGAATATAGACACAAACACGGTTTATTGAGCAGCAGTTGAAACAAGTACATAACAAAGTCATTTAAGGAATACGAATAACACAATAGGCATTCGGTCAGTTATCACTTCTGGGGTCAAGAATTCTACCCACTTGTGTCAAACTAGGAATCACTGACCACACCAGCAGTCCAGACAGACGCCACCCACGCAATGCTTCGTCAAAGGCCGACCCGACCCGACCCGTACCAATAGGCTTATCATGGTTATAGGCCGGGAACACCAAATCTGAATTTCAGATAGTCCTGGTAAAGCCGAACTCATAAATAGAGAGATTCTTTTGTTGGTACCGGGAGTGCCAAATCAACAGATTACCTGTGAGTGCACTGAACCGTGAATGCGTACCTTTGATAATATAAACAAGGCATACCGAAATACATTAGTAGAAATACACTTTATGACATAAACAAGTTATTCAGAGTTGTTGACTGTTTACAGTTGTAATGAGTCTACTCACGATGTGTTTACAAACAAGGCGCTTGTTTTAGAAGATCAAACCAACCAAAAAGCTTTCATAAGCCGAATTGTAATAATTGAAATAACATCAATATGACACTGAGTAAAAACACATGCTTTGTAAGTCTTATATTCCACAATAATACCACCAAAATGGCAAATGCGTAAGTGAGAGTGAATTTAACAGAGAGTGTGAGAGGGGGACAGCATCTGTACTATGGCAGGTATAGATTTTGTAGCAAAAGCTACCCACTAAAACAGAAGCTCCATATGTGCGGGTATTCAAATATTTGCATGAGAAGGCACATGACCTGAACATGATTCTGAGTTGTCTGCCCACAATGACGTCTGTAGCGTGTTTCCACCAACCATAGTTGTCAGAGGGTGTTTCTTCTCCCTCACCCAATGTATCTGGAGATGTGTACAGAAAGAAGGGCTGGCACCCTACTACAAAGAAAACCCTGAGGTGAAGAAGTTAGTTCGGCGTGCCGCTGCCCTGCCCCTTGTGCCACTTGACGAGGTGGAAGAGGTGTGGTGGGAGACAATTGCCGATAGCCCTGCAGGACCTAAGATCACCGTCTTCATGGACTACGTGACAACATTGTGGGTTGAAGGGAGGCAGTTCAGACGTGACATCTGGAACCAATTTGGCAACTCTGGCCACCGGACTAACAACAATCTTGAATGGTGGCACCACAAGATCAAGCAGCTTGCCAGGAAGAGCCAGCCTATATACTATTTCAGAGAGAGCAGTCCAACATCGTGTCAGCATTCTGCGATGGA